TTAAAATTATGGTAAGTGGTTTAAATTTTGAACTAGAAGTGATAAAATACAGTCTAAACTCATTAGAAGCTTTAGTAAGTCCAACAGAAAGCTCCAGAACAGATGCTAACTATAGCATCTTTCGTGGCTAAAGTTTAGCCATGGCTAAATGTTGTTTGAAAAAGTTGTTTGAATCCTGTGTCATTGCAATTTTAATGCCTTACTTTCATTTAGTGACAAAAAAAAATTTATATTATCTTTTAAGCTAAGCATTTTCATGCAATGCTAACATAACTTAGAATTAATCAAATACATTTTATTTTCTATAGTTGTGCTGTTTTCTGAAAATCTTTTTCAGAAGGGATTGGGACTCATTTGTGAAAGCAGACTCCAATGGATAATAACAGCTTCATGCCCCCCAAAAACCTGCTGGAACCTCATAGTAAGCAGTGGGTAAAAAATTTAAAATTACTAAAAGTCATAAACTTTCTAGGTTCCCTTTTGGGAACTGAAGCGTGGAAATTAGCAGAAGAACCTATTTTAGATAGAGGAATAAGTAAAGAACCATACGAACAAAACTGCAAGGATTAAAAAAAATAATTATGCTACATCATTTATTGAAGCAATATAACAGTAAACAAACTACAGAGGCATTTGTAACTTTTTTGGTCAATAGTTGAGTCCATTATGGAACTTTTGAACATGGAACTTAAAAGAGTTTAAATTGCTTTAAGCTTGATTTTTAGGAACCTTATATCTGGTACCGCCTGATGTCATATTGACTCTAAAACAATAAATATCTTAGAAAACCAGCCATCCAGGCTGCCATATATGTTGTGGGCATGTTAAAAGCTTTCACAAGGGTTGCATCCCTCAGCCATGTTTATTTCTGCCACTGCTACACCAATGTTGCAGCGTGCCAGATGCTAGAAAACCTACAGTGAAACTAAAGCATCTTTTTTGATCATTTGGACCAATACTGCTATTATCTGGCCAACTGAGGGAAACCTTGGAGCATTTAAACACCAATCCAAGTTGGTGAGTTGAGCCTCAATGTGACGTAAATCAATCAATAAGACTATTTAAAGTGATCAAAATAAGTTATCATGAATAGAAATTTGGCTTTAGCAAGGAAATGAAAGAAGGATGAAAGACTTTAGGAGCATTTACTGCCCAGGTTGCTCTTACTGTAGCTCCCTCACTCATGCATTGGGTCGGCTCTGGCTGGTGACCATGCTGCTCTGTAGAATGCAAGGCCTGCTTGTTTGGCATTAATAAGACCTCATATTACTGACTTTATTTGTCAGCCTAAACATTTTTAAAAGAAATTACAGGACAGAACACCATTGTTTCCGCCTCAGGCTCACAGCCAGCCACCCTATTAGTGCTGACTTTGAACCCAATCTCGCTGGTTGTTTGGTCCATTTTAACAGCATAGGCCTCTAATTTGTGAGCCTCTTGTAGCAAGTTTGTTTGGGGACGTGCTAATTAAAAGGGCTTGTTTAAAAGCACATTCTGTGTTGTGACTGTAACGTACTTAAAGTCATTCTGGGTAACGAGGACATTTATATAGTCAAGGAGATGTTAAAAGGAGCTTCGATTGCGGCGGTTGAATGATCTAATGCATTCACTTGCAGCTTCGCAGAGGCCACACTGATTTGGTGATCTAACATCTCTGCAGAGCTGATACTGACTGACACTTTGTGCTGCTTTGTTTTGTGCCTCATTTTTACCTCCTTTGTCTGACTTAAAGCACTTAGAAATCGATACAGGACCCCCGTTTGAAAGTAGGCTGTTGTTCATTAGTCACTGGCCTTCAGTCTGGCATTTACTCTACATTCCCTGTGCACCTTTTTTTAAAAAGCAATCCTATTCTCTTCCTTTGCTGCCCAACCTCTGCTCTCTCTGACTCCATGCAAATCAGTCAATTTAATCCCCTGACATGGTTTCACGGAGAGGCCTTTGGGAGCAATCTGGCCACACTTTTGCTTTGCTTGGATGAGCATGCCAAGGACCAAAGATGACTTCGAGTACAGTAGGACGGCTGAGGAGAAGATGAAAGGTTTCACATGAAACATCCCATCCGCTTTACCTGCTCAGTTCTGTCCAAATCTTACTGCAAGATTATCATAAACATTTTATTTATGACACTGACTTCAGTTCATGCATGTATTATTTCCCTAGGTAAGCTCCCTTTTCTGCCTCCCCACACGCGACCAATCAAACACAAACTCCACCCAGTTGTGTCCAACTGTCACTAGACAAAGGGCCACACACTGGATAGCTCATAGATTCAACAATATTTTAAAAAAAAAACTAAAAATGTATATTAGAGGTATTATCAATAATGTTTTAGAGGATCTGAGTCAGAATAATTAAATCTAAGATATACCAGTAAATATATTTAGCTGTTCTTAATCTAATGAAGTCCTTTGCTTTTTTAAGACTTTAGATTTCCACAAACAAAAGTTAAAAGAAACCTAAACAGCACAATTAAATTCAAAATATCTTATTTCTATATCTGATCAAATACAGTTCAGAGATTAAAAGAAAATGTGAAAACAGCTTTTAATGCATTCCCAAATAGCCATGTTGAATCGAATACCAGCTTTGGCATCATTACCCAGCTACAGTGTCGGGTAATGTTTTCTTTAAGTGCTTTCACTGTCCACAATCCACATTGAGTAAATCTCTGTTTCTATTTTTTTTTTACCCCTGGCATAGTGGTTTCATAAGAGATGGTCAATATTGCCCAAATATAGAACCTCTAGGGGCTCAAATTATGAGCTGCAAATCAAATCTTAACTTTATTAGCTGTAACAACTGGAAAAGAGCAGCAATTCTTCCTTACAGTTTTATTGCCCATATCAGAAACACTGTATGGCAAACAGGAAATTCACAAAGAAAACTCCTCAGTTCTCATTCTCTCGGATCAGCATACACTCTAAAATACTACCTATGTCCAAACACTGGAATCATGGCACACTTTAAGACTCCCAGGAACTCTCTTCAGTGTGGATACAATTACTGAGAGAAGAATATTCAGTTATATTTTGATGGTAAGGATGTCCAGGAGCTCAAAGTAACCATGTACGCTGGAAGAAGTCTGTGAAAGGGAAATATATATGTCAAGGCGTACTTCACTCATTCATTCATTCAAGAGGTAGAAAATAGAGCAATTGCTCTGTTTCATTCCTTATTTTATTCATTTATTTATATTATAATTTTATCCTACTTGCTTTGATTCTGTTTCATCTTCCTGTATTTTAATCATGTAAAGCACTTTGCGTCGTCTTTGTATTGAATTGTGCTATACAAATAAATTTGCCTTGCCTTACCTTGCCTTTGAATTTTAAGACTACCTGTAATCATACTTGGGGGAAAAATTGGGGCATTTATAAAATATATTTGGGCACTTTTAGTTACTTTAATACTAGCTTCATGTCAGAGGTTTAAGGCATGAAAATCTTGTGTTAAAGGAACTAAAGATGCTTACATAGATGCAACAAATGCCCAAATTCTTTTAATGCCAATCATTAAGATAATGAGTTTCTCTATAGAAAATACAACAGAGGCAAAATGCTGAATGCTAACATAAGATGCTGCAGGATTAATAAAATACAAACATTTATAATCATTTTTTTTTTTTCAGTAAAACATTGAACAACTCTTACATGTCCAGATTAATGCATCTACTTGTGATATAAATAAGTAATGACTCCTCAGGGCAGAAAGGCTACAAGAATTTTTTATATTTTGTTCATATATGCTGTTGATAATAAGAACTATACCTGAGTTTAGGAATTAACATCAAATCTCTGATTTGCACACGAGATGGAAAAACAGCGAGCTTTTCATTCCTGAGGACTGGCTGCTATTTAATTACAATAGCAATCAACCAAAAACACTGAAATACCAAGCCAGCCAATCAGAGCAGTCCTCCAATCAGCACCATGGCACTCCGGTTTCCTGCCTCCTGTGAAGTGATATTCAAAGCAGCCACATGCAGGCTGGCTGAGCTCCGGATCCTGTGAAATCTCTGCTTACTCCTCAGAGTAAAAGACAGAAAAACAGCCCCTATGCACGATGTGTGCTCAGGTACAGAACCTGCACAGGCATCCTATGTCTGCCCTGCTGCTGCACAAAAATCCTCAGACTTTTCTTTGTTTCAAACTGCTTAAAGCCGGAGCGCTCTGGCGCACCACGGTTGGCTCGTATTGGAGCCATTCTGGGATATTTTGGATGGATTAGTAGAAGCACCCGCTGACAGGCGCACATCCGCTAACCTTATTTTTTGGCCGGGAGCCCATCAGGCGAGCAGCCTCTGCATTCCTCTGAAATAGCGAGCCTCAAAATAACACTAATAAAAAAAGGAGAAGCACTAAAATCCAGGAGTAAAGTGTAAAACTTCACCCTCTTTCTGGAGGTAAACGTGATGCTGAATGGATGAGATGCGGTTTGGATGCGCGTAGGAAGAGCGCAGCTTGCGCCTCCGGTCTGTCCATCTCTGAGGGTTCCGGAAGGCACCGCTGCATCCTAAAACCAGCAGCTCTGTTTACATTCTCCTTGCCTACAAAATAACGCTCAGCTCGGGGGATGCGTAACAGAAGCTGCAGCCTCCCAGCCCCTCCACCCCAGCCTGGCTTTGACCGTGATCCTGGCTGGCTCCACTGATCAGGGACATGCCGGGTCACCTAAACCTACCTCCAGCATTCCTCCATATCCCCTCACGCACGCTGCCGTTGGATCCTAGGGTTGATTTTATGCACCGGAGCGCACACAACACTTGCATTCCCAAACCGTCACCTTTAAATTCAACTTTTCTCCTCTCTCTCGCATGCCCTGAGATGATCTCAGTCTCTGCTGTTTGCATTGTATGTATCTAGACGCGCTGATGATCATGCTGAGAATCATCTGTGATTTATATTTATTTTTTCTCTCTAAAGCGCTGAGGTTGCGCTGACAGCATGCACAAACACACACAAAAAGGCGCAAAAGCCCAGAAGATCTTGGTTACTTACGTTTTGAGGGGGTTCTGCACCGCTGTGGCCATTTTGGTATAGTATGATAGAATGCAACACCGCAGAGCCCGGTATTGTACATGTAATGTAGCAGCTATTTCAATTTCATTCATTCTCTGGGGCTGCGGCTGCAGCCAGCCAGCCAATGGGAAGCGGGAGCGCTCAGTGACAGCTTCGGGGAAGTGTAGTTTTTTGCGCATGTCTGCTTGTCATACGGCGAAGCTGCGTGCACTACAAATACCAGGGGGGGTAGCGGTGTTAGTGGACAAACAGGCCCGCCTCGGACCTGCACAGGGGAAGACATCCCCCACCCCAATTAAAACCGTTTGGAGTTTTGCTTCATATGAATTTAAAACTGTCTAATCTGTGGATCAGTTAGATAATTTGATCAAACTAAGCTTTTGAAAAGTCATTAAAGAGATTTCAATATCTATCTTTCTGCATGGAGTTTGCATGTTCTCCCTGAGCATGTGTGGGTTCTCTCCGGGTACTCCTTCCTCCCACAGTCAAAAAACATGACTGTTAGGTTAATTGGCTTCTCTTAATTCTCCTTAGGTGTGCACACCTAAGGAGAATTAAGAGAAGCCAATCAACCTAACAGTTGTTTAACTGGTTGTTTGTCCTGTTTGTCTCTGTGTTGCCCTGCAATGGACTGGTGACCTCTCGCCCATCAACATATTCTCATTATCAGTTCGTATGAAATCCTACGAAAAGTTATGCACAGTATTTCGTACGTTTTGGACGTTTTTCCTCGAAAAAAACAGATCAGTGCGCATGCTCAGCCAGACAGACGAAAAAAGCAGATCCGCTGACGGACGTACAACTGGGAAAAACAGTGCAATAATTACTTCTTCATGTCTCTCACTAGGTTGCTTGCTGTTTTGTATCTTAGGGTTAGGGTCAGGGTTAGGGTTAATTGTATGTTAAATTCTATGTTATTGAAGATGTAAGATGAGCAAGGACATCTTGTCTCGAGGCAAGACGTAAAAATACGATGAAATAACACGAAAAAAACGTACGAAATTACGGTGCATAACTTTTCGTACGATTTCGTACGATCTGATAATGAGAATACACTGCAACCATAGACAGCTGGAGATAGGCACCAGCACCCCTCGCTACCCCACTTGCGATAAAGTGTGTCAGATAATGGATGGATGAATATATATGCAAATGAAGGTAATAACCTACCTGTAAGATTCTCTCAGAAAGTACTGTTACAGGAACATTACAAACATTACAAACAAAAGATATTATAGACACATTGATGGGAACTCCTGGTAAAAATGTGTGAAATATTCTAATATGTGATCTTAATTTATTTCAGTAGTAGGCCTATGATGCTGGTAAAGGTTCTTTGTCATCAAGGTCATAGTCGCAGAGGCGTAGCCAGAATTTTTTTATAATGGTGCCTGGACAATAACCGATGAACATCCATATTTTCTAAATAAAGAAAAACTATATTTTCCTACAGCCTTTGCTAGCAAATATACGCATATATTTAAACATCCATAATTTCTAGATGAAAGGTATAGTAGATAAGAGTCTTTCAGTTTTGAGTTCTGGGGCGTAAATTTTCCCATTTTCATTAGTTACCTACGTATATCAATAAACATTCTGCATAAAATTCATATATACAGGCACTAATATTTACATACATTGATTATTTTTATAAGTTTTTATTAAAATTGTTATTTATCTATGATTTCACTAAAGAGTCTCAGATGATTGCAGAGACACATATTTTTCTCTTTACCCCATATAACACAAAATCTAGCTCTGAAAAGAGCATGAATTCTGTACTTATCATTTTTGATTTTATTATATTTAACCACCATAAATTAAAATGTTTTGGATATTCCACTTGAGAGTATTACTGCTACCACTATCTGTATTAGAGGGGGAAAAAATGGTAGGGGTGGCCAATGATTGGCCACCCCTGGCCCCCATATGGCTACGCCCCTGCATAGTCGTTCCAAAAAAAAAAAAAAAAAGAAATTCAAAACAATCCTTGTTTCCAAGTTTGAGGATGTTTCACTTCCCATCCAGGAAGCTTTTTCAATTCAAAATGTCAGGAATAGTGTTGAGTTTGAGGTTTTATACTGTAGCCCAAGAAAGTCTTATTTTTTGTTTTGAAAACATGCAAATTGGAACAGATGAAGGGGTCCACCCCTTTGGAACGGGGGTCGTTAGGTCTGTGATCTAACACTAGGGAAAATTAGAAAAAAAACTATCCTTTTAATATTTTTCAGGAGCAAAATTATTCTCTTATTGAGAAATAATGTGTGTTTTTTTTTATCATTTATGTTCATGACAGTGGTGGTTCTCACAAAAGCAGCACCCAGGGCGGCCCCCCGCCACTCACCCTTTCTGACTCCACTTTTCTAACCAATTAAAAGGGAGGAATTCTCTGGCATTCAGGATGAGATATTTCCCCTTTCTAAGCAGAAAGTAGAAGGGGGCAACTAATCAAGACCACAGTTTATGCAGGAAAGATTGCTATTGCCTGTCCTTAAAGTCCTAAAAGTCCCCATAGGATGTTATTGCCAAATTTGCATATTTGGTCATTCTTTTTGATCCAGCTTGAGAGCAATATAAACATCTGCAAGACGTGACTAAAAACACTGAATGTGTTTAAAACTAAAAAGGGACTCTTTAAAATGATTTAAACAATTAATCAGTGTTTTACTCAAATCAAATGACATAAATCAATTTCATTAAGCTTTAAAATTGAACTTAAAAACTTAAAGTTTCGCTAAATACACAGTGTATGAGAGTGTAGTTTGATTAAAACAATTTCAAAAAAGACATTATGTCAGGTATTACGTTTACATATATATTTACATTGTTAAATTTTACAACAGCAACAAAAAAGTCATTAGATATGTGGCTAGTTGTTTTAAAAATGTCACCAGACGGGTCTGAAAAGTCAATGAAGAAAAAAAGTGTTATAGACATTAAATATATATCTATAAAAACTATAGGGTGCCATAAAAACAGGTGTATGTTTATTATCTGCTGCCACACCCTGCATATGCCCACATGCCCTTTATCAACACCCACTGTTGCGACTCCTGCTGCTTATAAACATATTTTACTAACAGGACAGGATTCATCTTCTACAACATTTCACACATTTTCTCTTAGTTTTTCTCTGTAAATAATTTCTCTAGATCTTTCACGTTATTCATCCTTTTGTTTCATATCAGACCCAACCTGGAGAACCATAAATGCCCAGAACCACACATCTGACATAAGCACACCATTCCAGGTAAAATGTTTTTAAAGTTTAGAAAATTTCAAATGTTTGTATTAATGATTCTAGGACTTTTTTTTTTTTTTTTCTGGCATCCCTCCTGACTAGTTATGAGTGAACGATGTACAAATGTTAAGCTGTGTTTGTTGGAATAATAAATAGATTCCTCTAATGGACAGAATTAAAACTAAAACAAATCACCTTTGTGTCATCTCATACTGATGTTCCAAGATATCAGTAAATGAAGGTTAACTATTTAGTAGATGCTGAACAATTTAGTCGAAATAAACGAAAAATATATATAAGTGACTTGAACTTCAAAGGGCAATACTAACAATATTCCACTGCTGAATCCATCAAAAATAATAATAATCATAATAATTGAACTTTTTTTATCTCACTCTGGAGAAATTCTGCATTTGACCCATCCCCTTTTGGAGCAGTGGACTGCCATTGTGCATCGCCCAGGGAGCAGTGTGGGGTTAAGGGTCAGGAACCCAGATTAGAGGATGTGGGGATCAAACCGGGTACTTGTACTGTAACCTTCTCAGAGCACAAGCTTTAAACTCCAAAAAAGGTTATTGTCGACTGGATTATAGGTTCGATTTTCTAGATTTTCATGCTTGAGATTACGATGCTGCATTGAAAGAAACATTTCCTGTCTCTTTACCAGCAATGCCAATAAATGCGGCTGGCTTGCTGTACATTAAGCGATGACGTGTAGACTGATCATGTGTTATTTCATTATCTACGAAGCCTGGAAAGGAGCATCCTAAATTATTAACTAATCAGTGGCTATGGCTCAGGCCTGGGTCTGTAATTGATTCTTTCAGACAAGTGTCTGCACTGGATTCGCCCCAAGCAAAACCCTCTCCAAGCTCTTTGTCACTTCATCCGGTTTCTTCTGCATATGACACATATTTTTGCTTTATTTTTCTAAAAAAAAAAAAAAAAAATCTGATAATGAGAAAGAAAGCAAAGAAAGAAAGCAAATTGTGGAAATTCTTACAGAGCCCTCTGACATCTGAGATTAAGCACTGATGTTAGGTTTTCTCTCTCTGTCATGTTAGCAGCAGTGGCGCCTCTCTGAAGCCATTCAGTGACATGTGATATTTATAGATCTGAGCTAACAAATATTTCATGAACATTAGCAAACCAACTCTAACATGGCAGCACTGTTCTGGTGAAACACGCTGACGGTGAAATGGGAACTTTGATTTTTACAAAGTTGCTGTAATTGTAGCTATTAAGAAAGGGAAATTATTAAGTTTGTGAAGCAAAGATGTGGATTTCAACTTTATACAGTTTGCAGAGTTAATTAGTCCATTTTTAAATATAGATTTCAGGTAGGAGTAAACATGCTGATCATTTGCTTATTTATGGATTTTTTTAAGCATCACTATTTTTGCTTGGTTCGAATATAATTTCGACGTTGCGTGTAATTCCGCGTTTGACCAAACGGTGGTGCTCAAGCACCGTGAACAGATGCATCAATGACGCTCGACGCGTCATAAAAAAAAATGGTTCCTCAAGTCCAGCCAAATTTGGCAAGGTATTATAGTATAAAATAAAACGGGACTTTTGTTGTTTAATCCGATACATCTTCTTTTTGCACCTGTTAAATTTTGCATAATTACTTAGACATATTTTACCCTGAGAGGATAAAACTTTAATTCTCAACAAATAGCGCGGTGACATTCCACTTTATCAAGCATCTTAATAATATGATAAAATAACTTGCCATACCCTACACAGCGCCTCCATCCCTGTGGCTCTTGTTGTGATTGACAGTCATGCTGAACTTTCGTTTTGCTCACTAGCGTCTCCGATATGTTTTGAACGTTTAAAGGACGATGTCAGATATACTGATGAAAGAAATGGAGAGTCTATCGATTGGCCCCATGAAGCCAGAGCAGTTAGGGGACGGGGCCCGGAGCTTCCTGCTGGTGGACGAACAAGAAAACCTGCAGGTAAAGTTAGCCTAGCTAAGGCTAACTGTTTGCTGTTTGGCTAAAGCGGTGCTAACACCTCCTCTACTGATATAATTCGCTAAATGAATGCTTTTAAATGTATTCTATATCTTTATATTATATCATTTTTCGAACGTTAAATATTCAACATTGATTTATGGTAGCTAATTTCAACGCGTCGCTTTTTTCAGCCATTTGTTTACAAACGCAAAAGCTTTAAGTTTGCCGTTATTGATATGTAAAGTGTAAATAAGATTCCAGCCTGCTTTAAAATGGGGTTCAAAGAGCAGATGTATGAGGCAGAGCAGCATGTTGACCTATTATTAGGGAAAGTACCCAGTGAGTCATACCCATGTGACCCAAAGAGAGGCAGCCTCACCTTGTGTTTACATTTGATCAAAGTGCAGAGGATAGGCGCTTTCTTAACTGGTCTAAAAGCGGTAAAGCTCAGCAGCGCATTGTTGATAAATATAGCTGCTGGACAAACTGGTTTCTTATTGTGTTAATGATCCTGCTTCACTCATCCAGGCTCAGTCTAATGAGGTCATCTCTGGAGCCAGGGATCCCATAGCAAACTGTGCAGACAGAGCTTTCTCTTTAATCAGATCTCCCTTCTTGTTCCAGGTGCAAAACGAGGCTGAGTTTGTGGAGAGGCTCGGCTGTGCAGACGTCCCTGGGGTCAAGGTGCTCTCCATCTTTGGCAACACTGGCGATGGCAAGTCCCACACGCTTAACCACATCCTGTTTGGGGGTGAGAGCGTGTTTTACACCTCCAAGTCCCCCAGCTCCTGCACGGTAGGGGTGTGGGCCGCATACGATCCCTCTCTGAACCTGATCGCTCTGGATACTGAGGGTCTGTTGGGAGCTGCGGCCAATCAAAACCAGAGAATGCGCCTCCTTTTAAAGGTGAGTTTGGAGGTTTCCTGGGGACTGTTTACATCAGCAAACTGATCCGTTTCTGTTAAAGATATTCAATGGCTTTATTGATTGACTCTGCTACCCATTGATTGGAGGCATCCAGTCATTACCTATGTTAAGGTTTTAACTGTAACCATCAGTCAGACTAGAGTTTATTTGCATTAGCCCAGCAGTGCATCAGACGAGTTGCTCCGATTGGCTAACATACTCCATCTGTGACATACATCATCACTAATATGATAATTGCTGGGTGTTACTAGACTCAAATTACAAAGTTTTCACAGTTTTTTAGTTTTTCGGAAGGCGCAGCTACAGTTCTTTTTAAAGTTGATCATACCTGTGAACCTTGTCACATTTTGTTATCATATTTTTAGAAAATCTAATCTATTAGGGTGGATTTTATGCAATAGATTAACCAAACATAGCTCATTTATGTCTAAGAAAAGTTATGCATGGTTTTCAGATTTTCTACCGAAAATTTTAAAAGGCAGCATATATTTGTTGAACCACTCATACTCTGACACCCAAAAGTTAAAATCCAAGTCAACCAATTGCATTGTAAAGTTGCAGACAAACTTTTCTATTGTCTGTTACAATTAATTAATTAAAACAGTTTCCATCTAGTAAAGGGGTTTGTTGAAAGTAATGTAACTTTAGTGTAGATCAGCGGTTCTAAAAACAGCTTCCACCAACAAAGTTAACTTTGATTTTAGAGATTATGCCTAGGATCAGTCCATAATTTAGCATTTAATTTTTTTCTCCCATTTTTTGCCCAGACATTTTGAAATAATGCAATTTAGACAATAATAATGCCCTGAACCTTTGATACTTTTGTCAAACATTACCATGCCATTAGAATATCATACCAGTCCATGCTGAGATGGATGCTGCGATTACATGGTAATCCGTCTTTCCATATGTGTAGAGGATAACTTGAAAAGTTTTTAAAGATTTTGAAATAATTTTTACCAAAAGTGCAACTCAGTCCTAAGAACAATCCATTAAATTGTGGTTGTGCTTCGGATCATGATCTGGATGTGGGAATTTTTTTAAGGATTCTTTAACATTATTTGACGGAACAAGCAGTTCCCCCCTAAACCAGAGGGTGGCAGCAGTGACTATTGACCACTGATCTCTATTTATTCACTAGATAGCCGATTGGCCAAATAAACTGAAGTCACTTGCAGCCATCTTGGTACTCCCTACTCTCGTGCCATAAAAATACAATTTGGAAATAGAAAAATACTATAGCATTAACAGATATCTACTTATAACTTAGTCTTGATGTTATATTTTAAATTATATGTAATAATGGATTACCATAACAATGTAATCAATACATGTATATTACATGTCCATCAACAATTTAGCACTTTTTGCACATAATCAGATACAGTGTGTGTGTTTGTGCTCATGTGTAATATTTTTTATATCTAAGTACAGTGTTATTATGCTCCCTTAACACACTTTTTTTTGTTGTGATGAATTTGTATAATATGTTATATTACATGATTTATAGACTTCATACTGAATATCTGCAATCTGATGTTCGTATTGTTTTACCCTAAATAATAGAAATCAACTGATACTATAAAACAGCAAGTGTGTGTCAGTGATGACTTTATCTTTATTTAAAAAGTCTTAAGCACTCCCCCCCTTTTTTTTTTTTTTAGAATTTTTTTGTCATTATTAAGCATTAATATCATCTTATTTTGATCAATAACTCTAAGACTGTACAGTGCAGACACTCCAAAATCGCCACAAAAACCAAGGGACTTCTGGTGATCATACTACAACAGCTGTTTTTGAAAAAATACAAATTTGTATAACTTTTTGTGAATGAAGTACACAGAGATGCTAGGCAGATGGGAGTTCTTTATGAAGTAAAATAGGATATTAATAACAAAAAAATTCTAAAAAAAAAAAGGTGTATTTTTCTAAACCAGCTGTTGTAGTGCGATCACCAAAAGTCCCTTGGTGTGCGTGGTGATTTTGGAGTGTCTGCACTGTATAAACACAGAGCTATTGATCAAAACAGGATGATATTGATGTTTAATAACAATAAAAAATTTCAAAAAATAAGTAAAGGTGTCTTTTTTAAAAACAGCTGTTGTAGTATGATTATCGGGAATCTTTTGGTCTGTGTGGTGACTTTGGAGTGTCTGCACTGTATAACCACAGAGATATTGATTGAAATAGGAAGATATTAATGTTTAATAACGATAAATAAAATCTAAAAAATAAGCAAAGGAGTTATTGATCCCGGAAGTCCGAATCTGTGAATATCTTTCTAACCTTACAGAAGTAAGGTTTTGCGTTCTCACGCAAAACTTTCGCAAAAGGTTTTGCGAGGTAACGCAATACTTTTGCGAGGGAACGCAAAACAAAAGAAAATTCCCCATGTCCCCTAGGGGGCTCCGTAGTGTTGAACTTGTCAAAGGATTTTAAAGAAACTTTTACCAGAGGTGCGCCTCATGATGAGGAGCAATTCATTTAAATTTGGTAATTATCCAGATCATGTGTGAGTTTTAGCTATAGGTGTAAAAAGCTATATGGGGCAAAATTAGCTGCTTGGTGGAGGCCCGCGCTCCCAGAGTGCTTTTCTAGTTATATATCTATTTATATATTTGAGGGTCTTTTTGCTTTTTTGGTCTCCTGATATCGTTTTGTCTGCAGTTATATTGCCAAATCGGCAGATGCATTTATTTATTTTGTCTATATTAAAGAAAATATCATATCCCAGTTTATTACTGTTCTTTTTTGTCTGTTCTGATTCCTGGGTTGCAGTGAAAGCATCTCTTCCTGTTTCTACATCTGTGCTTTCAGTCAGCCAGCGTAAAACGTTCTCTTGTTTTCGGCAGGTTTTGGCCGTGTCTGATATCGTTGTCTATCGCACGCGGGCAGAACGTCTCCATAATGACATGTTCCAGTTCCTGAGCAGCGCATCGAGGGCCTACCTGAAGCACTTCACCTCAGAGCTGAGGGCCCTGTCCAAACGGTGTGGCTTGGACGTGCCCTTGTCCTCTCTTGGGCCTGCGGTCATCGTATTTCAGGAGACTACACACACTCAGCTTCTGGGCCACGGTACAGAAAACAAAATATTATATGTCTTGTTTAATTTGGGTTTTTTATGAGCATCTGTTGTAAATTAGAAGGATAATGAGGGAGTCTTACGGTATATATCAGCAATGTACAACTATTGCAGCCTGTGATAAACAGTAACTCCTGATTTTAGGATCATTCAGTCTCTCAATGGTTGGAATAGATTTGATGATGCTTTTTGTTTAAAGATGTGAATATTGATTCAATTATCAATATAAACTACTGGTTATCTGGGTTCTGTGTGTTTGGACTAGGGTTGTCACGATATTTTTCAACTCGATACCGATACTAAGGAAAATATTCGATACTCGATACCATTTTCGATGAAAGGATAAAAACAAAGAATCCAAACTTCTATAGAAATATTTTCATTAATAAATAAAATACAATAAATAAATACAGTAAACAATAAGAGCAATATTTTGAGGTTGTTTGCTGTGCATAATATTAAGCAAGCTTGATAAAAAACATAAAATGAAGTGTTCCTTCCTTGGCTATGCTTTGCACACATAGCAATGACGCTAGCCAAACCGGTTAAGAAACAAAAATAATTCTCAGCAGCTGCACCTCTTACAAAAAAAAAAGTCTGAAACTGAAAAGAGCACAGAATTATTCAATCACACGGTGTTCTGAAAGTGCATTTTCCTCTATTCTGCACTTTAAATGAATGACGGTTTAGGTGCCACTGGTGGTAGCACTGTATCGATACTTTTAAAAACGAGTATCGTATCCGGATACAACGTTTCAGCATCGATACTTTTTTTGAGTATCGATACTTTTAACAACCCTAGTTTGGACCCAAAGAAAATAGATATTAAAACTTTTAAATGATAGTTTATTCTATAGCAGTGCTTCTTATCGATCCCGTATTTTGTTGGTATGCTTATCAGTACTTTTTGTTTCAATGAAGCCAAATGGTTAAAAATAGATTTTTCCAAAACATTTGGAACATAAGAACTTGGAATAAATAAAATAACTAATAAATTACATGTATAAAACAGTAAAACACAACTTACATAACATTAAATTTGCCAAAGCACTATGTCTTAATAAAAAGTATGTATAATTGTAGGAGAGAGGAATATAAAGATTAGCAAAACAAAGTGATAAAAAGTGAGACCAATCCAAAAAATAAATATAAATATATATATATATATATATATATATATATATATATATATATATATATATCAGCTGGCCAATGCAACGGTTCATCTCTACTAGGGTTGCAAATTGATATTTTTGTTTTTTTTTTGTTTTTTTTTTTGATTAATCAATTTAGAATCAGGCGAAGATTCTTTTAAAGAAGAGTTTTGAAAGAGTTATGAAATTAAAACAGGTGAAACAAACTTTTCACTTTAGGAGTTCTGGATAGAGCATATTGGCAAAAAAATGTTTTCTTTATCTTAAATGCAAACATTTAATTATTTTTTTTTTTTACTGTGTTGTTAAAATTACTACTCAGCTAAAGGCATGTTTTAGAGTCTTTATACTCCAGTTAACGATTAATTGATTACTAAATTAGTTGACGATTATTTCAATAACTGATTAATCCGATTAGTTGTTTCCGACCTAAACTCTACTACTGTATGTTGGTGTAATTTAGAGCAAAAATCACATTTTTTGATTTATTCCTTTTCTTTTTGTCAGTAGTTATTCACTAAATACCAAAGAGCTTTCTTGAGACGGTTTTTTACCCCCAAGCTCATCTTTGTTCTTTCCTGGTGTAGATTCTAAAGGGCCCGGTTATGCTGACACCCTCCTCCAGAAGCGGTTCCATGACCTTGGTCTGGGGACCGAAGCCTTCAGCTCTGTCCAGTATGTCGGCACTCAGACCATCACCCCCCCGACAGATTACAACAAGCTGCTGGATGCCGTCAGGCAGCAAGTGAACAACACTCACACACGCTCCCCCCGCCAGCCGGGGATAGTGTTTCATGCTCTGGAGGTAAATGGTTTTAGCCAGAGCTAACAGTTCAACAGGAATGTCCTGTAGGTTGTTATTAGTCCTCTGGGTCGCCCCCCTCACCCTCCTGTTTAGCTTGCATCCTAATTTAATTTCCACGCCTCCTCCTTACTCTGAGCTTTCCCCTCTGTGTGATCCTCAGGCTCTGAGCGAGCGTTTCTGCGGGGAACTGTCCGACGATAAGATGACGCTGTACTCCTTCTTTCCAGACGAGTATTTCACCTGCTCCTCTGTGTGCCTCAGCTGCAAGTAAGTTGGGGCAGCAGTCTGCGGTAGACGTGATATCAGACACATCTGAAGGTTTTGGTTCCCCGAATCTCTCTCTTCTCTCATTTTTAACTCCTGGATATCTTCTCCATAATGCTTTAAAAAATTCTGCTGCTGCTTTTAGGCATTTAGATCCAATTCTTTATGAATTTCGGCTTTTTTTTCCTTTTTAAACAGTGAGGGAGTCACTCTTTTAGAGAAGAGGGGACCCCTCACATCAACACTTCCAGGATGCTCCTTTTTTGACAACATAAAGGACTGATGGTGTTCACCTCTACTGCAGACACTCTGTTTGCCCAGGTGGCCAAAACGGTTCAGAGGCCTTCACTGAGGAAATAAATCTTCCTCCAGTCCTCTGAAGTCCAGCCCTGCTTCTTACGCATACAGTTAGCCTGTCTTGGATGTTTCCCTTAGAGATAAGTGGTTTGTTGCTGTCGTTTTCAACAGCAGGCCTACATTTAAAATCCACAACGCTCCATCACCAGCAAGCTCCACACCGGTGGTTATACCTTAGCTTATTGCGAGATGTTCTCGGGCTGTTCGGATCTATTCCCTTACAGTTTTAAATCATGTAAGAATTTCTTTTTTGGATGCTTTCTTAATAGAAACAACATGATAACTGGTTGTAGCCTTTCATTACGAAGCATTAACGAAAGCAACAACCTAATGACATCATTAAATCTAGCTAAAACGCAGATTTTTGTGTTTTCATTTAATCCAGGGTTCCCGCGGGTCCTTAAAA